ATACCTTATTTATTTTATTTGTAGTTGTTTTTATTAACATTGATTGATTTAGTTGTTTTAATTGTATTGGTTGTTCGGTTAGTTGATAAGTGGGGAAGGGAAGGACCCTTTTCATGGGGGCTGAGACTGTGGGTTCGATGCCCTGTTGGTGGTAATTTTGGTGTGGGGGGAAACCGGAGTGCCCGGAGAAAACCCACTTTCCCAGGTCAGACGCAGAATAATCTATTTGTCTTGTGCCCAGGCTGAAAAGCAATACAGGATTATATATATATATATACATGAATAATCATGTTTTATGTGCGAGTGGTTCTGTGTGTTGTTGGCAGTATAGGTTGTATGGTGAAGTGTGTTTGGTGGGAGTGCTTGATATTTTGTGTAATGCTGCAGTTAAGCTGTTTCTTGTGTCCGCCTTTGTGTAATATTAACTGATAATTTTATTAATGTATTCTTGAGTGTGGGGAGGTTGCTTAATTTATGAATTAATTTTTCGGGAGTAAAAGTTGGTAGTTTTAATGTTAATCTAATGGCTTTATTTTGTTGTATTTGAAGTTTTTTGATGTTATTTCTGGACATGTAAGTTATTTGACATCCGTATTATATGAGTGGGCGAACGAATGTTTTGTATATTTTTAGGGCTGTTGTAGGTGCATCACAGTTGGAGTGTTTGCCTGTAATTAGACTAATGCAGTTGGTACGTTTGCTGATTGAGGAGTGTATGTTTTGAATGCGTTTGTTCCATGTCAGCCTGGTGTCAAATGTGATTCCCAGGAATTTAATGTTATTGCTTGTTTTTATTTGGATGTCTCCTAACGTTAGTTTAATTTTCTTAAGTGTAACCACGTGTTTTCGTAATTTTCTGTAAAAAAAGCTATGGCTTGAGTTTTTGTTGGATCAAGTATCACTCGCCATTTGTTGCACCAATGTAAAATTATATCTAATGTTTTTTGGACACGAGCAGTGGCAATGATTGGGTTTCTGGATATACTCCAGACGGCAATGTCATCGGCGTATTGAGAGTGGTAAGTGTACGTTAAGAGAACGCCTCCTTTCGGAAGTGTTTTCTAATCTCGTTGACAATTTATTGTATTCTTAATACAGCGGATATGCCTTCGATAACAAGTGGTAGGATGTGGTATTGTTCCTCCTTTTCCGTGTTTAGTGCGTTGTTTGTCGTTGTTCTTAGAATTAGTATCGGAATTTATACTTACCAGTGCTGTCTTCTTTTTCTTGACCGTGGTGAATCCGTCATTGTTATCATCCAGAGTAGGGAGCGAAGAGTCGCTGGAGGCGCCGTCGTCTGATTGTTCTTTTGTTGAGGTGTAGTCCGAGGCCGCGTCGTCTAAGGCAGATTCTAGCATGTTGGTCAGTTCCGTTGGCCAGCCGACCTGGTGGTGACGCCCGTCCGTGACTTATTCGGTGAGCGGAGCATAGTTTTTACTAGTCCTGATAAGGACCGAGGTAATACCTACTAATAAAAACTTGGAACGAAAGTTTCTCATGTCTTCACACTTTGAAAAACTTTTTGAAAAATAATTCTTGACTACCATCTCGAGCGAAACGGAAAAAACCAATAAGCTTGCAGCCAAACGTAGGGGGATATTGTGATTGGTTGGTGGAAGGCATGCGTACTGACGAATAGTGCAGC